CGCCAAGCACAACATGGGAAGAAACAAAGAGAGAGAGAGAGAGAGAGAGAGAGAGAGAGAGAGAGAGAGAGAGAGAGAGAGAGAGAAAGAGAGACATGAAAGAAAAATGAGACGCCATCAGCGAGTGATGTCGTTGCCGTGGCGGGGTCCACTTGTTAAAATTTAAGCGTGGTGTAACGCGTGGTGAGTGGAATGCGTCCTAGTCGACCGACGACAATTCATGCTTGGGACCTCGGCCCCCCAATGCGTCGGTTCGCGTGCGGGTTCGATTGCGGGGCGTTAACCGCGCGTACCCCTTATGCTACAGCGAATGAGAAACGCCCTCGACCGGGCCACCTCTGCGATTGCATACGAAAAGCTTTCATATGTGGTTCGGTAGCTCAGCCGGGATACGCCCACCCAAGGGATGGTGACAGATCCCGCGGGTGGAGGTAAGTTTGTGCCTCGTGTGACCCTATCCCGTCGTAGGGGCTCGTGAGAGGTACAGCTGGCGCACTCGGCCGGAGCGGCAAACCGCACTCTTCAGCCGGAGCAGCAAACCGCACTCTTCAGCCGGAGCGGCAAACCACAATCTTCAGTCGGAGCGGCAAACCGCGCTCTACGACGAAGTCCTGCAAAATCCTGCGTGACGCGGCCGGGAGGGTCCCCCTGCGGGACCGATGCGTGCGATAACGGGACATTTTGACTACAAAAAGACTAGCGTTAATTTAGTACAGCGATTCTGGTGGCCTAACATGCTAGACGATGCAAAGAAGTATGTACATACTTGTCAGGTCTGTTAGCGGGACAAGCCGCGGACTCAAGGTCCGCTTGGGTTGCTCAAGCCTCTACCCATTCCTGCTGGCCCAGGGCAGAGCATCTCCATGGACTTCATGGATACCCTCGTGACCAGCAAGAATGGCAAGCGGCACATCTTCATCATAGTAGATAGGTTCGCTAAATATGCTAGACTAATTGTCATGCCTGAGACTACCAGGTCTGAGCACGTCATTGAGTTGTTCATGGACAAGTGGGTGCGTGACTTTGGACTGCCGAAGACCATTGTTAGTGATAGAGATGTCCGGTTTACCAGCGAGATGTGGAAGAAGGCCGCTAAACAGATGGGCAGCCAACTTCAGATGACTTATGGGAATCATCCCGAAGCAAATGGGCACGCTGAACAGATGAACCGTGTGGTGTAGCATCTGCTAAGGCATTACATCAAGCCCAGCCAGGATGACTGGGATGAGAAACTACCTCCCATCGCCAGTCCGTACAATAATGCGGTACACAGCACCACCGACATCAGTCCTAATCAACTGCATCTGGGATGGAAGCCTAGATCTGCTCCAGACTTCCTCCTGCCTGAAAATCGAGCTGCTGCAACTCCTGGAACCATTGAATTTGGTGTCCAGTTTGAGAAATTGTTGCAGCAGACTGTCGAACACATCAAGAAATCGTAGGGAGCTATGATTGCTTCTAAGAACAAATGTCGCCGACAGTCCATATTTCAGGTAGGGGAACGTGTCTGGGTCAAGGCTAGTGAGTTGGGACAGGAGTTTGGCATCTCTAGGAAACTAATGCCTCAGTATTTTGGTTCTTGGGAAGTCTTAGACATTGTGGGGAATGATTTGGATGGTCCCTCGTACATCATTCGTATCCCAGGTCACCTACGCACATACCCTGTTTTTCACGCCTCCAAGCTTGCACCTTTCGTTGAGACAACACAGTTCCCATCACGGAGATCTATGCTTCCCCCAACCATGGATGGCAAAGTTCCCATCACGGAGCCACGTGGACGTTGACGATATCCTGGATCACAGAGACACACCTGTTCCCAAGCCACGTGGCGTAGGAAGACCTCCTAAACCTGCAAGGGAGTACAGAGTACATTTCAGGCATCATACTGATCCTAAGGAAGATCGATGGATTTCAAGGGACGAACTTGTCAAGACAGCTCCTCAGATCGTGGCAGATTATGAAAAGAAATTGAAGGGGAAGGCACCAGCATGAAGCATCTTAGCGGACTTTCGAAGCTAAGGGGATGGAATGTGAGGAACGAGCCCTCAAGGGGCCCTATCAGACATCACATGTTCTGGGCTAAGGCCCCAACAAGCTAAGTGCCCGCCCTAAGTGAAGGCGGGCCTGAATATTCATCAAAGGCCAAATTTTGAAATTTCCATATGTGGGTATTCAGGCACTCGCAGCACGCCAGTTGGTTGGGTCGACGCGTGAGCCTCACTAAGCTGCGCCATACAGTTGGCCCAGGCCTTGACAGTTGCGCCTGGGCACATACACACAAAGCAGGGCCGATAGATTGGGAAGCAGGCCATCGGCCTTTGGAAAAGCAGTACTGCCGACACACCTACCTGGGAGCCTTACACAGATGCAGCAAACAGCCCAAGTCCAGAGACTCAGGCTGTGCCCAACTGAAAAGGGCCCAGGCCCTCAACTGTACTCTCGGGCCTGGGCGCAGGGTCTGAGGCCCAACAGGACGCTACTGGAAGCTTCCAGCCCGGCCACATGCAGCATCCAGGAGGCTGCCACTTCCATAAAGGAAGTGAGGCAGCCCAGACCAGGCATTCTGGCCAGTGCAGGCGATGCAGAAGTGCTGCTGCGCTATCGCTTGATGCTGCGCTGCTGCCAAGGGCGCTGACGGGGCGCGTAGTGGTGAAGTGGGGTGCTGCAGGGCAGCGGGGCGCAGACAGCCATAGCCGGGCTGCTGGGCGCCAGGGGGGTAATGCAGACTGTTACATGCACAGATATGTGATGTTTGTAATAACGGAGGAACTGCAATGTGACGAAAAGGACTGAAATGGACAATGCGGTGAGAGTAGAATCTCSACAGACAATGTGCATTCTCATACATACAAAAGTGYTGAATAGCGYAGGGAAGACTTAGATACAAAGACTGACCTGACAAGGACTGACCTTACACACGTAGTAGCAAGTAGCGAAACAGACTGCTAGAATGTTGATAACTAGTCCAACCGATGGTTGAACTCAGACCAAACATGCATCGTACCCCTCACCTGGTGTGAAGGAGCCTGGCGCTGCACACAGGAAGAAAGCGCCAGGTCCARACATGCATAGACGAAGAGGTAAGGATCAGACGAAAGGAGGGAGGAAGATGGGAGTGTCGTTAACACCAAGTCTTTGTCACCGATCCCAAATAACCCCTCGTTGCCATGTCTGAATCCCAAAAAGTCGAGTCTTGGATCCGATATCACTAAGCTCGGTATCTCTTCTCTCGCAGTCTGCAAATGCAGTGAAGTCAAGGGTTGAGAGGGAGAGAAGGAGATGGTGGACTGAGAAGAAGAGGAAGAAGAACTCTCTCTCTCTCACTGTTATGAACCAGATACTAACCTGTGATGTGGCGCTGTGCTGCAGGTACCTTGAAGTAGGTACCCCTGGCCTCCGCCCAAGCTCTCTCTCTCTCTCTCTCTACCACTATCCTAGCTATGGCGCCCAGCGCCGAAGGCTACTAGCTAACGCTACCACTACTATAACGCAGCGCTCCCTCCAGAGGGCTGCTCCCGAATCCTGAAGACTACAACTGCCGACTGCCTCCCTCCTGTGGGGCGGGCCAGTCCTTTATAGTGCTGGCCCGTGCAGGAGGCTGGTCGTGCCAATGCCCTATGCGCAGGAGGCCGCTCTTGCCAATGCCTCCCTGGCCTAGACCCTGCGGAAGCTTCCAGGCAAGAGCCTGGAAGTTTCCCTGTAGGGAAACAGGCTCGGGCCTGTAGGCCCTGTCAGAAGGAAGCTTCCAGGCAAGAGCCTGGAAGTTTCCCTGTAGGGACACAGGCTGGGGCCTGTAGGCCCTGTCAGAAGGAAGCTTCCAGGCAAGAGCCTGGAAGTTTCCCTGAAGGGAAATAGGCTGGGGCCTGTAGGCCCTGTCAGAAGGAAGCTTCCAGGCAAGAGCCTGGAAGTTTCCCTGTAGGGAAACAGGCTGGAGCCTATAGGTCCTTTCTCGGGTTGTCAGGCTGAACCGTCGGCGGGGCCTGTAAGCCTTGGATATCAGGCTTAAAGCCCGAAATTCAGGTTTTTTGGCCTGAACGACGTCGGGCCTGCAAAATGGCCCGTGTGTGCATGTGCAACATGTAACACCCCCCCTCCTTACGAAGTCAAGCCGGGGCGAGGGCGAAGCCGTCGATCTGAAGGTGGAACATGGACGCGGGCGCGGCGGGGAGCCGAGGAAACCGGCTTGCCTTGCATCTTGCGCTCATAGCGTGCGAGAACGTCTGGAGCTGTCACTTGAAGTTCCGCACGGGTTAACCAACGGTCAGCTCGGTGGGTGCAGTATGCAAAATGCACCAAATACTCAGTTGGCTTGTTGCCAAAGCGTCGCTGGGAGATGATGTCGCCGACCTCCTGAAAACCATCCATGGAAGGAGGGTCCTGTGTACGTCTCCCGGGAAAATCGTCATGCTCCGCAGGCGTGTAGAGAGCCAATTTGGAGCAATGAAAGACTGGGTAGACGGGCAAGTGGCTAGGCACCTGAATCGTGAAGGAAGGTCCTTCGGGTGCGTCCCCAGTGGGCTCTATGATCGGCCAAGGTCCCATCCATTTCGGAAGGAGCTTGCGAGAGATGTCTTGTTCAAGGCTGAATTCCGCGGCGGAAACCCAGACGAGSTCCCCGGCGCGGAATGGACAAGGGAGACGCTGGCGATTTGCCTGCTGGCTCATGCGTTGCTGTGTCTTAGCCATCTGGTCGCGTGCCTTGACAAAAAGCTCTTGCATCCGACGCAAGAAAAGAAGATGGTCGTCGCTCTCGGTCGTGCGTGGAGTGATAGTGTCCAACGGTGACGTGACCGGCGAGCCGTGCTCGAACTAGGAGGGCGATATCCCAATAGCCGGGTGGATGGAAGAGTTGTAGGCCAACTCGACATCCGGCAGTCGCTCAACCCAGTCTTTCTCATCGGGGCGGATGAGAGTGCGAAGGAGAACCTGTGCGGTCTGATGCGCCCTCTCCGTCTGGCCATCGGTCTGAGGGTGGCGAGCTGAACTGGGCTTGAGAGATGAGCCCCATCGTTTGATGAGCGCCAACCAAAAATCGGACATGAACCGAGTGTCGCGGTCGCAGACGATCTCCTTGGGGTAACCCTTGGTGCGAATCCAACCGGCGTACAGAACCTCGGCCAACTCCGGTGCCTTGGCATGATAGCGACAAGGCAAAAACATGGCGAACTTGGTGAGTCGGTCGACCACCGTGAGAATCCCATCCACTCCGGTCTTGTGCTTGGGGAACGGACCGGTAATGTCCATGGCAATCGCTTCGCTTCGCCTCAACGGGACCGGCAATGGTCGTAGCTCGCCGTACGGACGATGGTTGCGGGATTTGCAGCGTCGGCAAACCTCGCAAGACTCGCAATAGCGCGTGACGTCGCTGAGAAGGCCAGGCCACCAAAATCGCTGGCGAAGTCGGCCAATCGTGCGATTGACCCCGAAGTGTCCAGTGGCGGGAGCATCGTGGAACTCGCCAAGAAGCCGTGTACGCAAGTGAGGATCACTTGGTACGCAAAGAAGGTCCTTCCCCCGCGTGTGGACAAGCAAGTACCCCTCCTTGATCCGGTAGTGAGAAGGAGACGGATTAGGCGAGGAGCAATTCCCGTACTTGTCGCGAAACTCGGGGTCGGCTTGGTAGCCGCGGATGAAGCTGTTCCGCAGGTCGTCRTCAATCTCGAAAGTTGAGTAGACCGCGGTACAATGATCCGGACGCCGTGAAAGAGCATCCGCAAAACGGTTCGACTTCCCGGGAATGTGATCGGGAAAGAAGTCAAACTGGTCGATGAAAGCCCTCCATCGAGCGATGGTGCTGTTGACGGTGTCCTGGGTCTTGTAGAAGACCAACGGATTGTTGTCCGTTACCCAGCGAAATTGGCTTCGACCAAGGAGGAAGTGCCGCCACCGCTTGAGCGCGTGGACGAAGGCGAGGAACTCCTTCTTGCGTGCATCGTCGATGGAATGCACGAGGGGCACTTTCTTGATGAAGTACTCGACTGGGTGCCAGTCCACACCATCATGTTGCTCGAGGACTGCACCAATGCCATAGCCTGACGCATCCGTAGTGACACGCGTAGGTGCGAGCGGGTCGTAGATTCGCAAGACCTCCGCAGACAATAGCGCGGCTTTGAGAGCGAGGAATGATCCCCGCGCCTCCTCTCCAAAGTCAAACGGACGATCCTCGCACTGAAGCTTGTTCAAGTGGGCCGCGATCTTGGAGTAGCCTTCGATGAAGCGCTGATAGTAGCCGGTCAGACCAAGGAACGAGCGAACTTCTGTGACGTTCCGAGGCTCCGGCCACTCCTGGACGGCCTGAATCTTGTCCGAGAGCGGACTGATGCCCTCCAATGTGACAAAATGGCCCAAGTATTCCAGCTCCTGCCGGGCAAATTCACACTTGTCGCGGTTGGCCTTGTACTTGGCGCGGCGGAGCGTCTCCAACACTCGTCGAAGGTGCCCCAGATGATCCTCCAATGACCGGCTGTAGACGAGAATATCGTCTAAGTAGACCAGCACGAACCGGTCCAACATTGCACGGAACTCGTTGGTCATCGCCGCCTGGAACGTCGCCGGGGCGTTGGTGAGGCCAAAAGGCATAACCACCCACTCAAAATGCCCGCACCGTGTCTTGAACGCGGTCTTGTAGCGATCGTGCGGCTGGATCGAGATTTGATGATATCCCGATTTCAAATCCAACTTGGAAAAATACTTCGCGCCGCCCAGTCGCTCGAGAAGATCGTCGATGTGAGGAAGAGGCCCCGCATTCTTGATGGTTTGCGCGTTGAGCTTGCGGTAGTCGATACACAATCGTAGATCCTTGTTCTTCTTCCTGACGAAGAGAACAGGTGCTCCATATGGGGAGCTGCTCGGGCGGATTCAGCCTTTGGCCAACAAATCATCGAGTTGTGCGCGGAGTACCTCAAGCTCCTCCTCGCTCATCCGATAGATGCAACCTTTCGGCGGCACAGCACCGGCCTCAAGAATGATCTCGTGAGAGATTGGCCGATCCGGCACCACACCGGTAGGTGACTCGAAGATATCGGCGAACTCGTCCAGCAACCGC